GCCCCCCCCCCCCCCCCCCCCCCCCCCCCCCCCCCCCCCCTGCCATTTTCTCACCGTGCACCCCTTGTGTCGCCGCCACCACACCCCATTTTCCCACACCTGGTGACGTCTGCGAAGAAGGTGGCGGGGGCGGTCGTGCCGGCTTCTCGTCCCGACCCGCTGGCTGTGGAGAGCGACTCCATCTCAGCGGGACTGGATCCCGCGGATGTGCTAACCCTCGTCTCGCAAGTCGGGTGCGACTCCAAAGCGGCGATCGTCGCCCTGCGGCAGGCGGACGGGGACGTGATAAATGCGGTCATGGACCTCACGTTTGCATCCTCTGGTGGTGGTGATGGGGCTTCTTGTTCTTGTTGACGAAAAAATCAAGAGCCATGCACCTTGGAGAAGCCTGCTGCTGCTGCTGCTGCTGCTGCTGCTGTTCCGTGGGGGCGAACAAGAGAGCCGTTGTTTCGATTTTCGTATGGGTCCCGTGACAGCAATGGTCGATGCCGTCTGCTGGCCACCTCACGGACTCTGGTGGTGCTGCTGATGCTGCTGGTGCTGCTGCTCCTGATGGGGAGGTTTAAGGCCCGATTTTCATGCCTCCGCTTTAGCACGAGCTGGCGGTGTTGGTGGTGGACACGCACTTTTCCGAGACGCTGCTTGTCCACTTCACACGTGACAAATGGGTGCGCATCTTCACACGTCAACACGGCCAACGCGCCACCAGAGATGACGGGCGGCCGTTTGCTGCCCTGGCGCGCAGCAAATGTGGTGCTCTCGACCTGGACCTCCCCGTGACGCCTCGGCAGCTTCGACAGAAATCGTTAACCCTCGTTCGGCTGTAGACAGCGAGCGGGCTTGGCGTTGCTGCTTTGTCGGATGCGTACTTGACGATGAAAACACACGCATGCGCGCTTCACACATGTCCAAACTCCACGCTTGTGAAAAAGGAACCTTGATACACTCCATACGTACTTCTTTGTGAAAAGGGACCTTCACGGAAGATTTATGGGGGGGCGGGGGGGGGTACATGTGATTCATGTCGGGGGCAGAGGCCGGGGTGGGTGGCCTTGAAGCGCAAGACGTCGTGCATCCATGTTTTGGCGTTGTTGCTGCTTTGCGGAAGGCCCGCTAGTTGGGACTTCGCGCCATACCTATGTGGAACGCACGTGTGGGCGTTGGAGTAATTTACAACTTACGGATGAAAGAACGACCGAAATTTCTCCTGCTCGCGCCGCTAGCCAGGGGCTGCCCGGAGCTGTGCAACCGAAACCTTTGAGCGACAAGCTCCGTTTTTTTTTTTTTTTCAGTTGGGTGGTCGTGTGGATGTGCCACGGTGAGGGGGAGGTTGCCTTTTAGGTGGAATTGGGATTGTCGCATGTACAGTGGCACAGGGACGGCGAGAAATCTGCTTGCGTTGTTTTGTAACACATGGTACATACTGTAACACATGTCAAGTTGTGTGTACTTAGCAAAGACAAGGAAGTTGGGTGTCGAAAATAAACGCTGTTTGCTGTGTTGCTGGCGGAACAGGGGGTGCGATACAAACAGATACCAGTCTTCGATTGGTCAAGTGGCAAGCGCGTGCTCGATTTTCCTCGCTCTGCGCACGCCGGCAGTTAGCTGTTGTTTCCTCGCAGCTGTTCGTCGTGACGTTTGTTTGTTTGTGTGCGGGGTGCAGGAGACATTTTTGTGCAGTCTAGGAAGCAATGTGCTTCGTTACTCGTTTTTCTTCATTGTCTCTGTTTTCGCATATCGTACAAGTTGCATTGGTGGTAATGCTGAACTGGACAGCATCCGTACGGTAAGTATAGGGGAATAACAGTCAAGAATTGCTCATTTACGGAAACAGCAGTCTTTAGATTGCACACTGGTGGAAAAGATGCACTGCTCGTCGTGTTTCGCTTGTGCCTTGTTTCCCGGCATTTTTTATTTGGAAATATATTACTACCCGGCCACGTCGCGTAGAAAAGGATGTCGGAAAGGAGACGGTTGTGATCGTTTGATGAGGCACACCGAGTTAGGTGGCTAGTGATGAAAAACAGTTTTTATTTGCGCAAATTCGAAACGATGGTGTCGAATGCGAAGACGACAATAACTCGACAGGGCGACGATGGTACAGTTCGGCTGAGTGGTGGTAGGGCAGGGCCCAACCTCATACGTTGGGAAAGGTACCTGGTGCAGTATTGCCTCACGCGTGGCGTAGAAGACATCCAATAGTTGGTGGTCTTACACAGCAGTCGGTGGTGCTAGCGCGCGGTGCTATTTAGCGCGTAGTTGCTGGTGGCCTGTTAGGGGCAGCATGACGTGTGTTTGACGTACTACTCGATTGACTAAAAGTCGCGGGTGCAGTCCTAACTGGATGCGTGGCGCAGGCATTTAGGGGTCCGGTGGTGTGAAGTCTCGAGGACGGTGGTACACATTCACCACACCGTGGAGGGTAATCGTCTACAGTTGCCGATTACAGCTAGTTTTCGTTTGTTTTTTTTTTTGGTTTTTTCACCGTCACCTTTGCAGTTAGTTTCGGCAGGTACGTTTGTTTGGCGATGTGGTTCATGTTTTCATTTTGATTTTGATTTTCACAAAATAGACAAGGCCGGTACGCTTGGCGACGTTTCGACGTGGCTGGTGCCAAGGGGTCTCTCGTTGGGGTGTGCATTGAAGTTTTCAAGGTTTCCACTGTTTCTTGTCCTTGTAGGTTAGGGGTGTGGTCTGAACAGAATGTTTTATTACAATGTAGGAAAAAAATCTGATTTGATGCCAAAGCGGCTGGGTCGTGGAGTTAAAAACGAAGAGAGACACCCCCACTACGCACGCCGGCGAAAACGTACTTCGGGTCTCCTCTGTGGCGGCGCAAGCGCCCAAACGGCGTGCCTCCGTACAGGCATGTTTGGCGAAAACGTTGCATTCTCGGCAGGCACCCGAAAGATAGCACATCAGTTCGAAGTTCAAATGTTTTTTAGTACGGGATTTATGAGGGCGGCGCAGTAGACGAATCAATCGCTCGCGTGGGCAGGACGTTTGCGTCGGTGTCTCTGGAACCCCCTGTATGCCAGGCAAACGGAAACAAGCGCGGCTGTTAAACCATGTCATTTGTTGATTGTACACATTCACTGTAGTACCGGGTCAAGGGTGGAAGCTTTCGATGGTCAAGCAAGGAAAGGCTTGGGGGGTGGGAAGTAGGAAGGAGGCCAGAACCGGGGCTCCGCATGTTCGGCGTTCGGCGTAGCATATCAACACCCCGACCGGCAAACTAACGTGGCTGCTGGCACGATTATTGCTCCAAAACTCCACAACAGCGCGACAAACACCTCGGCCTCGCAAGGTGGCATTGAAAATTCTCCGGGAGAGTTTTTCCAGAGAGTTGTGTCGCGCACATGATGCGCCCCGTTACGCGGTAATTGGCTTCATCTATATTCATGTGGGGGTATGCCTAGGGAGCTGTGCACATTTACTAACATGTGGTTGACCCTGACATGTACGGACGGATAGTGCAAGATTTTAATGGGGGTGAGAGACGTGACGAAACAAAGAGAGGCGGCGCCAAGATCAAATGTCCGATACCGCAAAAAGACACGTGGCATCGAACGCGTTGCGCGTGGACGTGTCTGGGCACAGCAGCGACTATTCGTCGGGCAGACTCGACGAAAAAACGAAAGGCGTCCTGCCGCACAAAGAAAAACAAGCACTGCCGTTCGTTGTGTAGAAGTGCTTCGTGCCAAGCGTGGATGGACGAAGCTAGCTTCGCGGTGGCAGGGTTTATTGCTTCAGAAGGGGCTTCCATTCTTTAGCAACACCTGTCGTTAGTCGACGAAGGTACGGAAAAGGATGAATCAATGATGATGCTTTCAAGATAAAGTCATGGGTTGTGTGATGGCTTCGGATGGAGGGACTCTCAATTGGGGGTATAACATCAAAACGTCTTCAGCACGATAGTGCACCCTTGACAACGATCGATTGTGGATGACAACCCACCTATTTTCCGCAGCGGTGGAAGATACAAACCTTTTTTTATATAAAAAAAAAAAAATCAAGGGTGTGTTTGGTACGGTACCGGTATTTTCGGTCAGGTATTTGCATCGTACCGAACGTACCGAACACTTCGGTAAGGTATTGAAGTCCATACCGAACGCACCGGTATTTTCGGTAAGGTGTTCAAGTCCGTACCGAAAGTATCGAGCATCCCCGGTATGGTATGGCAGTCCATGCCGGTACCGTACCGAACATCTCGGTATTTGTACCGAAAGTACCGAAAACTTCGGTGAGGTATTGACGTCCATACCGAACGCACCGGTATTTTCGGTAAGGTATTGAAGTCCGTACCGAACGTACCGAACACTTCGGTAAGGTATTCAAGTCCATATCGAACGTACCGAGCATCCCCGGTATGGTATGGCAGTCCATACCGGTACCGTACCGGCGATATCGGTATTTGTTCGGTATGTCTCCCGAGCGTCGCCCCAATGTTACAACAATACACGAAATACGCCCCAATACTTACATGCAATATCAGGAATGTGTGTGTGCGCGCAACAGTAAGACCTAAAAGAGATGGTACGGAGTCAATCCGAATCCGAGACTCTCCCTATTGAAAATGGAAGGCAGGAGAGAACGGCAAAAAAAAAATTAAATTATCAGGGGTCTTTATCTTGAATACGAAGTATAATTGTAATTTTAACATCAGTTTTATTAGTATTATCATGATGATTTGATTTTGGACTGATGATATTTTTCTCTCATTACGCGCGCGAGTTCAAGTCCTCCGCCGTGTTGTAGGCAGGAGCAGGCCGTATCACTGGCACACTGCTGCCTCCTCCACCATCCACAACAACCTCTGCCTCAGCAGGTGCTGGCACCGACGCTGACGATGATGAGCTTTGGTGGCCAGCTGCGGGTGTTAAGGGATTTGAATTGTAGCAAGTATCAACGGTTATGCGGCGTAATTCCCTTAGGAACGTGCGGGAGATGTAACTCCCGCTGGAAGGAAAAACCCGGGGACAGGTCCTTTCTTTGTAGCCCCTATTTGAGGGAGCTCGACGTCCCCCACTGTTCTCTGTCTACCTTTGAGAGCAAGGCAACAACAAGCACTGCTGTTCCCAGAGATCAATAAACAAGTGAGTCTTCCCCAGGGTCTTCAGCGAGGGATTGCTACGCGTGAATCCCACAACATATGGCGTCGTCTCAGAAAAGGATTTTTAGCTTTCTCTCGACTGTTCTCTGCTTGGCGTGGCGCGAGCTAGCTCTACTTCTCTTGTTTTTGCGTGCTCTCCGCCGCTGGCTATCGTGAACGCGTGGTCGTAGTTGCTCTTCCTTTCTTGGTATGTCTCGTCGTACGGACGGCAGCGAAGACTCAGAGTCCGCCAGCCCTGCCAGTTCTTTGCAATCGGTTTCTCCCCCACCGCCTGGTTCGCCAGAGGCGTTGCTTGCTGTATCACGTGTTGATCCTGCAGTAGCCTCGGTTTTTTTCGACCACGCTTTGTATGCGCCACATGTGTATAAAGGGTGTTTGCCCGACACGAGATAAGATGCCCCAAGCCTTATATACTGACATGTGGTGCCATACCCTCCCGGATACGAGCGAGCGGACAGCTCAGCATCGTAGACAAATACGCGGGTACCACGACGCACCCCCCGTAGCATGTACGGTAACCGGAACCTGACCGGCTGGCGGCGGACAAAAACACCATTTTCACGTGTGCCCGGAATCGAACCCGGGGCTTTGACATTCCACAGGTGACATCCTGCCGCTGACGCCAGATATAGGTTGACTCTCAAACAAGCACCGCAGGAGGCTGTGAATCCTCGACTCTTGTAAGGTTCAAGAGGCCTCCGTGAGCAACGGTCGTGGGTATGGACGATGCGTAGAAAGCACCGGACAGACAAAGGTTGACAGAGTTGGATCTCGGGTGAGAGCCAAAGGGACGAGGATAGAAGTGACAGAGGGGTGCGAGCAGAGCGAGGGCACCGCCATCGGATAAGCCGACGTGGCGGGGACTGAGCTGGCACGCTGAGCTGGCACGCTGAGCTGGCAGGCTGACGTAGGCCAGCAGCCAGGAAGACACCGCCGTAGCGGGGACGAAATAGGCCGCACGAGATGGCGTGCGGCGTATCTCTCTCTCGCGCATACAAACTGATGCGATGCAAAAGTGTGCAGCGAGGACGAAAAGTTCTACCGCGTAGTGCATAGGTTCTCAACGGACAAGAGTCACTCACACATGATAGTGTTGGTGCTCGCGCCGCTGATCCCCAAGAAGAGGCGACACGTCTGTCTGAGCTTCGCGCTGAGGCCAGGCGTGTCCGCCTTTTCCAAAAGGATAAGCGTGCTCAAGGAGCTACAGCCCAGAGCAGTGTGCGTGAGCGTAAGCCGGCTGCTCCCTCTGTACCCACTGGTTCTGCGGTTGATGCCGTTCATACCCCCACCGGAACATCTCCGTCTCCTTTTGAGACTGCTGCTTCTGGTGATGCTGAGGTGGCCACTCGTACTGCTGTAGTAGGCATCCACCTATTCGATATACTCGTAGCATAGCATGCGGGTGGTATATTGCGTATACATATGCTGGTATTGCAGTGACGAACTACGGAGGAACAAGAAGTTTCTTTATGTTTTCCTTGGGAGTGTGGTAGATTGGTGGACATTCATGGAGATTCGTTTAGGGTGTTTGAGCGTTATGCGTGACTTGATG